AAAACTTCTGAACACTGTCTGATCTCTTTTGCCCTTAAGGTAGCCTGAGACATCTTTTCTTTTGCACTACAATTAAGTGAGTTGATTCTACTCATAAGTAGCTGCTTTTTTTAATGATGATTATGAATGTATTTAATTATGTCATTTTTTATTACCCAGAAGCTTCTTCCTACTTGCATCTCATTTTGTCTTACCTGTTTAAGTAAACACGAAGCAGTCATCAGTATGCCCATTTTCTGTGTGCTTTTTTCTTTTGAGATCAACAAAGAATGTATGATTTCTCAAGTTTGATAACTTGCTATCCTTCCTATCCTGCTTCATCTCTGGAATAGTTTGAGCTTGTTTCTATAGTACTTTTTATCTGTGGAACAGACAGTTCAATGGCATTCCAGTTTCTTCCAATTAGACTTGCCTTCTGCAAGCTCTCTCCTGCCAGTTTTCTGAGCGTATTGAAAACTGAGCTTAGGTCCATTGATTTTATTTTTTTTATGCTTCCTACTTCCCCTTGTAGGGATTGTGAGCTGTGTACATCAAATCTTGATAGGAACTTCTTCATAAAAACATGATGGTAGATGGCAATTTGGCGAAAATAATCATGAAATGATAGATTACTCTGTTATATACCTTTTCCGCAATTACTATCAAGCTCTGTGGTTTTCTGATATTTACTTACCAAATCTCATCTATCTGATCTTCCTGGTTGGATAAGCTGTAGTTTTGATACATGATGGTAGTCAACTTTTCTCTGTATTTAATATTAGTCTCTAAAAAACATATTTATAAACAAATTTAAAAGAAGAAGTTGTCCTAGTTAAATATTGGTGTCTGGGTAAAAAGAAAACAAATACAGAACTAATCAGAAAATCCCTGTGGTGTTACAACAAGTGCCCTATTTAAAACAAAGCAAAAAGGAAAAAAATCAAGTGGGAGAGGTTTATCCGCAGGAGAAAAACACTTTAGAAAGCATAATAGAATTGTTTTTCTCATGTCCCAGGTTAATTACACTCAGAAGCACTTGAAATGAAAAAATAGTTTTTCAGCACACACCAAGCGTATTATAAGGCAAGTAAACCTCAGTCTGCACTGCAAATTAAGTGCTCCCTTCCAGCCCTATAAAACTGTACTTTAAAAGTACCCGTGATGAAGCAGGCTGTGTGCTGACTTCAGTAAAGCATACTTGCTGAATCATAATCTTCATAAGAAACTTCACTATAAGATGTTATTCATGCAGGAAAATGTTTGAGGTTCCAATCACCTCTTAGCAGTAATGGTCACTTGGGTCCTGCCAGAGAGGAAGCAGCTGAGGTGCCTACAGGTTAGCGTTGTATAGAGCGTGATCCGCTGCTTCCATGCTGTTTTGGGTCTGTCAGCACTACAAACATTAAAATGCTAGTTAGGAGCTGCCAGTACTGGAATATGTGGCATAAAATTCACTAGGTTTTGTGTTTATGCCATAAAAGCTGTAGGTGTGAGTAAAGGTTTTAAATTGTGCTGAAGTAAGCAGATGGAAGTCTATGGACAACTTGTTGAAAAGATGCAATCTTTTAAATATCTTTTCAAGTTAAATCACTGAATAACGGTAATGAAACTATATACTGATGCTGAAAGTACGTTTTTTTTTCTTGCAGTACTTATTTTTATTATTTTTGAGGTCTTGTTGTAATTGAATTGGCTTAATTTTAGTGAAAATAACTGAAGTATGAAAGCATTTTGTCAAATTTTGATATCTCACGGAAGTCTTCAAGGGGGCAGCTAATGCAGCAAATAAGATGCTGAAAAAACATACAAGAAAGGTGTATAGATTGGGTGGAATTTTCATAGGTACCTGTTTTGGGTCAGCTCCATAGTTCACTCTGTTGCCTGTACTAGGTAATGAAGTGAATCACAGTGACACTGTGCAGTTTAAATGAGAGCTTAAATTACATTACAGTTGCATCTGTCCTTATTTTAACATGACAACTGGTATAGACTTTGTAGAAATTAAAAGGTGCAGCAAAGAACAGTTAAATATCTATCTCCCGTTTAAAAAAAAAAAACCAACCAAACACAAACAAACAAAAAACCCCAAACAAACAAACAAAAAACCCTCTAGGCTGCTTTTGAACTCATACACTCCACCTGAATTGCTTTTCTTTGTAGCTTATTACATCTCTGAACACAAATGAAATACATATGTTTCATGATGCTGTTTATCATAACAAAACTCCTGGGATTTAAACTACGATAAAACTGACCAATAGTAATGTCAGTGATGCTTTACTGATACAATAGCAATAGCCTGAAAAAGGAGTCACTTTAATTAAATTTGGTTCTTTTTATATATTTTTTGTTGTGTCCTCAACAAACTGCTGGGGCTGAGAGTGAGTAGAAAAGTGTGATTTATTATTCCCTTTTCTCAGTATCAAGCCACTTATATGCCAGCTGGTATAAAGTTAATCTTTGTTATATGCTTATTGCTATTTTCTTGGAATACAAGGACATGAAGATTCATACATCTAGATCCCTTAAAGCATAATGCTTCATAATGGCCATAACTAAAATGAGTGCCTATGATTTCTCTGAAAGATTCTCTGTTATGATAAACCGTACATATTTTCTATCTCCCTAATGTCTCTTGTGGACAGTGTTATTATACAAATTGGCAGGAAAAATTATAATAGTTTATTTTGATCTGTCTCATTTCCCTATTAGGATTATAAGTAGTTCTTCAGAATTGCCTATCCCTTTCTATAAAGTTGATGGTTGATGTTATTCACTAATTATGACACAATACTGCTCGAAGATCCCAATCGTGGCCTGGATCCTATTGTACTAAAAGCTGTACAAGAGCATTATAACCAGTCATTAAAACCTGGTATTTTAAACCGGGAAGTCTCAATGTGTGCTGTAAGAGAGGTAAATACCATTATTCCCATTTTGCAGACCTATCAATATTTCCTAGCTTTATGATTTTATGTATTTATTATTATTTTAAGGTAGTTCATCATTCATAATGAAATAATTTTTTTAAAAAGCAAATTAAAAAAATTGCAGTATTTGGCATTAGGTTGTCTTCTTTGAACCCTCATCAGTAAGGTTCAAACTTTTCTATCAAATATAAGAATTTCTAACCTTTAGACTAATGGAGTAACTGCTAACAGATGTCACCCACAAAAGCATGGGACTTTTTTTTTTTATTGGGCTTCACAGCTATTTGCTCACTAAAGATGAGACTGCGGGATGTTGAGGTCCACTCCGAATTGTGAGGGAGATGTGCCCTGTTGCATACGAAGTTACTTATTTCCTTTTCCCAGTCTGCACCAGTTTCTCCTTTTCCCATTTTTATCTTGCCCCAGACTCTCTGTTCCTTGAGACCTTCCTCTCTGTTCCTCTTCCGAGACTGCTTCCAGAACATTTCCTAGTCTTATCGGCCTGATTCTCTGCCAGGTGCCCAACTGATCTGCCAGGCTCTTTGTCCAGCCTGTCCCAATGTTCTTTCCTAACCCTGCTGCCCCTAGGTCTTTTTCCTTCTCCAGTCTGCCTGTGGCTTTCCTGTTTGCTCAAACACCCAGTGTGCCCCTCCAACTCCCATTCTTCTTGTCAAGACTGATAATATATTCCCACCTGTGTGTTGGCACTTATTTACCCTATTCATTCAAATTTAGTCGCTTCCTTCTTGTGTTGCCTGGACCCACCATGAAAGTTACTGGAGGACCTGTAAAGTTGCAGTGGCAGGGGAAGTTCTGAGCAGCATATATTAGAGCACATCCAATCCTGAGGTAGTTTAGCTGCTAAAACTAAGAAACCTTTATCTGGATTTCCAAAAATTTGTCGACAGAATAAGGTTTGATAGACTAGCGTTAGATTTTCCTTTTGCTTCATGAAATATTTGAGTTTATTTAAGTTGAATCTTTCATGTATCTCTAGGTTTATCATTGTCTCATTTTTTTTGTGGCATCCAGCCAGGTGGGAGAAAATAATATAATCTTCTGCTGGTAGTGGTTCAGTGCTATCCAAGTGAGAGATCTCAGTGATGTTCCTTGCCTTGAAGTTGCATGTGCTGTAATGCTTTAAATCCACTGAATAGCTCTCTGCTTGTTTAGGAGTTGAGTACAACCCACTGTGCAAATGGAATAGTATGTATATTCCTAGTCAGAAAGAAACTCAAGATACTTAGGATATTGGAGAGAGAAAGAAAAATGCTAGATGATAACAAAGAGTTTTTATGTTTATAATATTGAAGTATAAGGTGGTGATATATTATTTTCCCTGTGCACCGCTCTACATATGCGGTAATAAGCGTAACAATAAGACACATGATATCACTGTCCCAAAGCGATGTGTGTCACTGCTTGAGTTCCTGGCACTTAGAACCAGCAGGTTCCATTTTGTCAGGCAAGCGCAGGTTAATTGGGGAAGTAAGGGAGCTTTAATCCCCGCCTTAGCACAGCCTGTGTGGCACATGTTTCCACATCATGTTACCAGGCTGTCCTTGAGGAACCCTGGAACTTCAGAAGTCTGTGAAACTTACTGTTCCCTGATTTGTGAGTAGTTTCACATATTTTAATTTCATTGGTATTCTTTCCAGGGAAAATTTATTTACATATTTGAAAGTATTTCCTTGTCTTTCTGATACCTTGCCTGTGTATGCATTTTATACGGTGGTTTTTTTAGACTGTTCTGTCAAGAAATACTATGTTTACACTGTGCTCATTAAAATTGAGTAAACTTCTTGTGATTCCTCTATTAACTAGTACACTGATTTTTGCATAACAGAAGTCACAAGACATCAATTGGATTTAATTAATTTTATTTTAAATTATTAAAGTAATGACAGTAGACAATACTGTAGCATGTTCATAAGTAGTAAAAGCAGTGCTTGTACTAGTACATTATTAAATCTTAATGAAACTATTCAGAGCAGAAATTATATGTATTATTTATTATTGTGGGAGTAGAAAAGTGTGTCTTTGCAAATCCCAGCTTTCTCTTTTTAAAAAGAAGATTCTGTCTCTTCCTAGATGTGTAGTCAGAAGGTAGTGAAAGGTCATACAGCTAGCAGCCTTTGGGGTTTGCCTGCCTCTCACCACGTGGATTCTCCCTTACCCCTGCTAGAAGAAGATATAACAAAAGGTGAGTCACAGAAGCCCACCTGGATACTGTACAGATGTACGCTACGTATGCAATGTGGTTTGCTGTTTGAAGCAGGTATCTAGTAATCAAATTTTCTGGCACTTCAAAACTTGTAAGAATTGTGATCTCAAATGTTGCGAACGATAGAGATCAACTTCAAACTACTTACGCCATGTGGTAGCCAACTTAGGACATAGCATATGTTATATTGAGCGTTATCCTCCTGAAGTCAGTTATCTTGTAATTCACAGAGTTCAGCTGCTACTGGAAAGAAATGTGTGTGATGTGTGGTTCTTGTATGACTAAATAACATGGTCAAAGTAAACAGTCATATTTAACATCTGGTTATTAATCATGCAATCTTAACTAGATCTGCACTTGGACTATTTTAGCAGTCAGTCCGTATTTATGACTTAATTACATTGTGGTTTATAAGAGTTAATTCTCATCCATTCTGTGCATTAAGTTGCCATTGTACAAACATATAAATTCCTCCTCAGAATGAGCACCATTACAGTACCTTCTATGGATTTGTCAGTTTTTATAGGCAAAGCTCACCTTCCTTGAGGGTAAAATATTGAATGTTGAAAGATACGAATCTTTCAATAACAGAAAACTGCTGCTTTTCTAGTTTTGATTTGGAATTGGAAGAACTTCTGTTCAATTCTTTCTTTATTGTTACTAATTCTTTTACTTTCATAGCTGGAACGTATATGAATTGTTCAGTAATATTGTCATCTTGTAGGTATTCTGAGCCTAACTGAGCAACGGCTTATCCTCCCCGCAGCAAGGATAACTCTCCAGACACCTCCTGTTGTACACAAAGCAGTACCTTTCCATGAATTTCACAGGCAGCACAAGAAGTCGGCTGTAGGTGAGCACACAGGATTGATAACAACCATCAATTGTATCTCCAACTTCACTTTCAGGACTTTGTTTTATCTCACAAGGAAACAGCTGTCTAATGAGCACTCAGTCAAATTTTTAGGAATACTAAGTGCATAACGATGTACATGAGCATCCTGTGTCTTGCAACTGTATGGGAATCAGATTTCTTAATTCCTACGAGGATTTGGTCCCTGTTCATTTTGGAAATCCTGGTAGGCTCCTACCTGCATGTTTAAATTTCTGAGCACCTGAACCTGAAGATCTGACCGTTGGCGTTAGTGTAAAGTCAGTGTTACTCTAAGCGTGACCTGCATGACTTACAACAGCTGATCGAGTATCTATTTTGCCAGTTTGATTAAATGAATGACTCCTACTAAGTAAACATACTCTGGGCAATGGGATTCTGATCTATCACAAAGCGTACTCAAAACTGTTGTTGCCACAGCTGCTTGTGGTATATGATATCAGTATGGAAAGGAGCATAAGGAAAATCAGCGGTGGACTCAGTAGCAAAGTTTGAAAAGTTCTCCTAATGAAAAGGGGTGGTTGAAAACTAAAATTATATAAGGAATAACCTGGACTATAAGTGCTAATATTTTGACATTGTTATCCTGGGTATACTGTTGGCTGGCATATTACGAACTTTAGAACATTATAGATTAAAACCGTGATACATTTTCCAGTAGCCTGATCTCAGTCTTCACAACAGCAACTTGTTATAGCATGATTTGGCTTATGGCCATCCAGTGGCATTCCTCAATGACTTTTGGTGATAACCCATGAAAATTTCAACCTGCTTGGACATGAGAGCAAACTGGAGCATGCCAGTACCTGATGGTAAGTGGTAGAATATCAGTTTGATGCCGTTGTTGCACTTCTTTTAACAATGAAACCTGCGATCAATTTTTTTCTTTGGTACAGGAGAGATTAGCAGTAGGGTGGACCCTGAGAATACAGACACCATCACCTTCCAAAACTCAAAGGAAGCAATATATGGCAAATATTCCTCTAGTAAA